ATAGCTTATGCTGGAGAGGATGTGGAGAAAAGGGAACACTCCTCCATTGCTGGTGGGTGTGCAAACTTGTACAACTGCTGTGGAAATCAGTATGACGATTTCTCTGAAAATTAGGGGTCAGTCTACCTCAAGATCCTGCAATACCACTGTTAGGCATATACCTAAAGGAGGTACATTCACACCACAAGGACATCTGCCCAGTCAGCTATGTTCATAGTAACATTATTTGTAATAGCCAGATCTTGGAAACAACCTAGATGCCCCTCAACTGAAGAACAGATAAAGAAAATGTCATATATTTACACAATGGAGTACTACTCAGTGATAAGAAACAATGACATCCTAAAATTCACAGGTAAATGGACAAAACTAGAAAAAAAAAACATCCTGAGTGAGGTAACCCAAAACCAGAAAGACAAATACAGTATGTACTCACTCAAGAGTGGATACCAGACTCAAAGCAAAAAATACCAAGCCTACAATCCACAACCTCAGAGAAGCTAGATCCCTCTTCCAGAAGCAGATGGAAGCAGATACAGAAATACACAACTAACTAATGGGCCAAGCTTCTGGAGTACAATCAAAATGAGGGAGGAGCAATAATACAAACAAAGGAGTGAAGACCATGATGGGGGAAACCCACAAAATCAGCTGACCCGAGTTAGTGAGAGATCGCTGACTCTGGTGTTACAAATGGGGAACCTGCTTAAGACTGAACTACACTCCCTTAATATAGGTGACAATTATGTGAGGCCACTGGCAGTGGGTTCAAGATATAACACTAATGCACACACTGACTTAATGGAGGCCATTCTATATGGAGAGATACCTTGCTCACCCTAGACACAGGAGTGTGGGGGTGGAGAGGTGCCTTGGTACTGCCTCAAAGAGATGATGGGACAGACTTAGTAGACTTCTAGGGGAGGCCTTACCCTCTCTGAGGAGTAGACGTGAGGTGGGGAGGTATTGGAGGAGTGGGAGAGGAGGGAGAGAGGAGGAACTGGGATTGCAATGTAAAAAAATAAATTAATAAAAAGTTTAAAAACATACTGATAATACCATTATAACTTACTCTTATGTGAAATTATTTATTTCAAAAATTTTAAACTATGGTTCTTTCTGAACTAACAGTAACTGGGATGCATGGTTAATTTAAAGAATTAAATAAACAAACCAGGACATATGGATGATCCATGAATTTAGCAGCAGCAAACTGACATATATATATTTTAAATAACCTGGTGAATCCTAGAAAGTATTTATAAATTGACAGTTATATTGTTTATATTACTCTTTCTAAATTTCAGGTCAGGTATAAAATTATATTTAATAAAAAATTTAAACATCATCCTTTAATATTTGATTCAAACAACATAATTTTAATTGCTTTACTTCAGCAGAGAAACAACCAGAAAGTTTATTGGAAACACATGAAAACCAAAACAAGCTCACCATGGCATTCCTAGAATACAAAATGCATCCTAAATGAATACATTGAAACTCCATCAGTCAGGGTGGTAGCACACACCGAACTGCAGAGGTAGAGTTTGAAACCAATGCAGTTTATATATCAAGTTCTAGGCCAGCAAAGGATACATAGTGAGAACTAGTCTAAAAAACAACACCCCCAGCCAGGCGTTGGTGGCGCACGCCTTTAATCCCAGCACTCGGGAGGCAGAGGCAGGCGGATCTATGAAAGTTCGAGACCAGCCTGGACTACCAAGCGAGCTCCAGGACAGCCTCCAAAGCCACAGAGAAACCCTGTCTCGAAAAACAAACAAACAAACAAACAAACAAAAAAACAAAAAAACAACACTCCCCCCAAAAAAACCAAACCGAACCAAGCATACAAACAAACCAAAACCACAAAACTTTTCACCAAAGTACATTTCAATGGAACCAATGGTATCTATTTAACATATAAAAAACAAGGTATACAGAACAGCATGTTAAGATCTTACACTTAACACCATACACCAGACCTTGTAATAAATGTTTGAGAACAGAAGTGCTTCAGACTTTAGAGCTTTTCAGATTAGGAGACATTATACATGTGTCAGTTAAGCTTCCCTACTCCAAATCTGAAGCTCTGAATACCATTCAGTGCCTAATGTGTTCGGGTTTCAGTGCATTTGGTTTTGGGTTTTCAGGCTAGGACTGCTGGATCTGTAGTAATCATAATACTATATCTTCTCCATGGGTTGTAATAAGGATTCATGAGAGGTTGGAGCTAAGCAGCTGAGATGACCCAAGTTCAATTCCCAGGACCTAGATCAGGCAGCTCACAACCACCTACTGCTTTCTTAGATAACATTTGAAATAATACATGAAATATATTTAACCTGATACAAAGCATGTGATAAATATTGCTGTTATAGGAAGTGCTAAATTGAATGTTATTAAATATATGTTAAATAATAATAAAAAAATAAAGTTTGAAGCAAGTTCTCTAAAATTTCACTTTATTATACTAAAAAATTCCTACTCACCAGAATATGGGACTTTCACCTGGTTCTTTTACTTTGTAGTATTCTTTGTCCTGTGGCAAGACTTTGGTTAATCCAAAATCTCCTATTTTAACTCTGTTCTCATTTTCCACCAGTATATTTCTTGTTGCTAGATCTCTGTGGATATACCTTTTTGTACCAAGATATTCCATACCCTATGGATAAAACACATTTTTCTTTCAGTAGTTGTATGAGCATAATTTATATGACTGTATTCTACAAGCTCTCTGTATTAGTTAAGGACAAGTCTGTATGACTTTTGAGTTAGTTCATCATGTTTACTGCTCCCACAACAGACATTTAGGATGTTAGGTACCTTGCATATCTGAGATGTGTACTGCAGAAGTTTTTTGTGATCTATCCGTTCTTTGTGTTTTTGGAGATAATCTCGTAAACTTCCATATGGCAAATATTCCATAATTAATCTTAGGTTTCGCCGACCTTTTAATATACAAAAAGAACACAATGTTTTATCATGCTTTATCTTTCTGATTAAATACTAGCGAAAAGGTACATGTAATTGTGCATTGTTCAATTTCCATGTGTTTGTAGGATTTCTGCGATTTGTGTTGTTGAATTCAAACTTTAATGCATGGTGGTCTTATAAAATACAGGGGGTTATTCCAATTTTTTTGTATCTGTGGAGGTTTGCTATGTTTCCATAATGTGCCCTGAATGAAACGACAGACTCTAGATATCCCCTATATGGAAGGAAGTGGGGATAGGGTGGGAGGCTGGGGGGGGGGGATGGTGAGGGGGTGCGGGAGAAGGGGAGGGAGAGGGAACTGGGATTGACATGTGAAGCAAGCTATTTAAAATTAAAGTAATAAAAAATAAAATAAAAAAGTACATGTACATTATTTAAGTATACACAAAATCTGCATCCATGATGGTAAAACTTTATTAAAAGTTAAAGATTATACAGTATTTAAGAATACAGGTTTTTCAATCTGGGCGTTAGTGGCACATGCCTTTAATCCCAGAACTCAGGAGGCAGAGGCAGGCGTATCTCTGTGAGTTTGAGGCCAGCCTGGTCTACAGAGCAAGTTCCAGGTCAGCCTCCAAAGCCACAGAGAAACCCTGACTCATAAAACCAAAAAAAAACAGGTTTTTTAATATAAACGTTTTTTTTGAAAGAAGCATTAGAAATATTTATTCTTTAGCCTCTTTTAATTATTTGTGAAAATTCAAATAAGTTGATAATAACCTTTTTCAATTGTAACAAGTATCTAACTCAAAACAATTTAATAGACTACATAAGGAAATTAATTTTGTTTTTAAAAAAGTTAACACATTTTTAAGAAGTGGTGAGAAGGATGATTAACCAACCAGCCAAAACACTGAAGTAGTTATAGTTCATGATCTCCTGCACATCTCCAAGCAACTCTCTCTCTGAGCACTGACAAATCTTTGACAACTTTGACAACTACCCACAGGATGTCAAAGATGGCCTGTGACGTTAAGACAGATTTCAATGGGCAACATACCAGCACTGTAGCACACTCCCTTGTACTTCACAATGTTGTCATGCTGCAAGGACTTCAGGATTTCAATTTCCCTTTCAAAGTCTCTGAGATGCTCTTCAGTGCTGTGCTGCAGTTTTTTAACAGCCACCACCTCCCCAGTGTTGTCCTGTAGTGGGTCATATCGGCACATCTCCACACTCCCAAAATTACCCTACACAAGAGGTGACATTAGCATGGAAGCCACAAGTCTTCAAAACAACTTACTACTGACTTCTAAGTATACAGGAAGTACATGGCAGCTAGAATTAGTAGGAAGAATTCTGTTTATGCTAGAGAACTTTTGAAGAAAGAAACGGAAGTGCTATCTTAAAAACTGGGCAGTATTTCCATAAACAACTTCTTTGAGATGAATTATAGACTGAAAAAGTATATACTGAATTATAGACTATTCCTTTATCTCAATGCACCTTGATATTGCTGTCAGTGAATGTGTGACTCCCTAATTTACATAAGTAGGTCTAATCCCTAATATGATTGTCTTTGGAGTATCCTTATACCAAGTGATAAGATTAAATGGTCAAGTGGGTGACACCCTCATAAGAATAACTCCAGAAGTTTCCCTTTCCAAAAGCTTCTATCTGATGCCATGCAGAGAGCCCTTACTAGAAACCAAACCCTTCCAGAACTCTGACCCTCGACTTTTCAGTCCCTGTAACTGTGGAGAATAAAAGTCTGTTAAGTTCATCTAATCAGTACATGATATTTCATTATATAGACAAACAGAAACTGATAAAGAGTCTGCTTGACCAGAATGGAGAGATAACCCCATGGTTAAGGGTACTGGCTGCTCTTCCAGAGGACCTGGGTTCAATTCCCAGCACCTACATGTCAGCTCCCAACCAGTTCTAGGGGATCTGACACTAATGCACATAAAAAAGTTAAATAAATTAAAAAATAGTGGCTACAGGTGATATTCCTAAAGAAAAATGAGCAATCTTTAAGAAGTGTACTCTTTCTCTTTCCTTAGGATCCCTTTCACCTTACCCACCAGTCCCCAGGTCGTGTCTACCCTCCAGGCCTAGCCCAGCTGGTACACCCTGTGCCCTAGCCCAGCCTGGTGAGTACAGCTCGTACCCTCATCAAAGCAGATTCTTTGTGCAGTGCCAGGAGACCATTGCATCCCACAACTAGTCATAAATCAGACAACTCGCTGTGGGGTCCCATCCCTGACTGACACATCCACAGCTCAACTCCTGCAGCCCAGGCTTCTTTCAAATGTTTCCTAGCCCATCTAATTGTGAAAAGAAGGTAAATGACAGCACTGTAGAAGTCATTCTTAGCATCTGGTTCTTTAATTACAGAAGTTGCAGTTTTATGAAGATAAACATCAGCTTCCTGCACCTAAGTGGACAGAATTAGCAAACCTTATAAACAATTGCATGGATTATGAACCAGATTTCAGGCCTGCCTTTAGAAACCTTACCACTACAACTGGACCTGCTAAGCACTGCATCTTTTTTCATCTTGTTTGTTATAGAGGCTATGTGTGGCTGTGCAACTTTTTAATGGAACCTCTGTTAATGAACATGGTTAATTCAAGGTCCTAGGCTGTAAGCAATTAGATTGTTTCTCCCAAGACAAAGTCAGAAAGGCAGACAGAACACTATGTGTTCCCTTCTCTATTTCACTAACTACCCCTTCAAAGCAAGAGACCCAGGATAAAGCAGTTTGGGAAGTACTCCTTAGCTTATTATCATCCATCCTTTTAAAAGACGTTGACTGTGCACCGCATGTTAAAGACCCTGAGGGATGCTTCAGTAAAGTGTTTATTTATGGGGAATTCTCTAATATCCAACAATTAAACTTTTTTCTACAAATGCCACTTAAAATTCTTGGGAAAGTGGATTGAGCAGCTCTAGTCCAAAGTCTTTTTTCCCAAATAAAATGATATGATTATGTTGTATTTGAAAACGTATGACCGTTTACCTTGCCAAGTTGCTGTAGAAACTTCAAGTGTCTCTCTTCAAACTGTGTAGGGTCTCTATCTTCAAAAGCACCAGAAAATCCTAGGGCACCTATTCTCATGTTTGGCAGCATGTCATTCTCTGTTAGTAGTTCATAATCTGTAGAAACAAGTTGGCAAATACATTCTCTGCATAAAACTGATATTCAAGCTAAGAAGTCGAATGAGTTTGGAAAACTAAATAACACAAGGAAACTCAAAATTATTTACATTATATTATTAGGAACCTTTAATTATTACCCCGACTTTCAAGATAGGTTTTCAAGTGGTAAATTACTCCAAAATAGGTAGTTTCAGTATTCCCAAAAATGAGATTCTATTCCAATTCCTGAAGTTAGAAAGGTATGGTGCTGACTGACTATGAGACGAGCATGCATTTACCTCATCATTCTAAAGGAGGTGGGGGAGACAAAATAAATCTATCTCATGTTTTAAAACAAAGTAAGTCAATTACAAAATAGATTGAAACTAGAAAAGCCAGAAGGGGTATTGTTAAAAAGTCCATGCAGCCAAATAACAAATGTGATCAAATAAGCAAGCTTCTCATTAACTGACAAACTCAATGTCATTGGATTCTAAACTCTGTGACATTCACAGACAATAATTTGTGGTTAAGTTTTTTTTGTTAAAAAAATAAACAAGTAAATAAAATTAGGTTATAGAAAGAGATCATTTTAAAAAATAAGGACTGCCCAGTCAAGCAGAACATGTATAGCATAAGGATTCACACAAATGTAAGAAACAAAAAGGCCTGGAAGACATGAAAGACTTAGATGGGATAGTAAAATTAGGAAGTACCCACTGAAAACAACAGAGGAGAAAGACAGTGACCAATGAGACGGCCCCGTCAGTACTAACCTGGAGTAAATAGGCTGTTAAGATCACGGATGATGGCTCTAAAGGCAGGCCTGAAATCTGGTTCATAATCCATGCAATTGTTTATAAGGTTTGCTAATTCTGTCCACTTAGGTGCAGGAAGCTGATGTTTATCTTCATAAAACTGCAGCTTCTGTAATTAAAGAACCAGATGCTAAGAATGACTTCTTCAGTGCTGTTATTTACCTTCTTTTCACAATTAGATGGGCTAGGAAACATCACACCATGTGAAAGAAGCCTGAAGAATCAGACTGTGCCTCCAGTCTGAATGAACTTACTCTTTGAGAGTCCAGAGCACTCAGTGGTTTGTCTCCTCCACTGCAGATTTCCCACAGAGTGGTGCCAAAACTCCACTTGTCTGTTGCCAGATTTAGGTTTTTAGGATTTTCAATGCATTCAGGTGGTACCCATGGTATTCTCTCCTGAAGAACTTTTAAGCAACAAGAACAAGCTATCGTTAAGTAAGCTCTACAAACTATTGTTTATATGTGAATAGTTTTCAAACTCATTTGAATTATTAAGTCTTTCGTGGTTGTAGAGGAATGTCTGGCTCATGATTGTTAAGTTTAAGAGCTGGATGATCCTTGAAATCCTACTTCAGTAACCAGCTTTAGCAACTAAGATCCACAAAGACTGGACAATTATGCCATGGTTACACAATTTTGGACAGTGTTGTTGGAATTAGGGTCCTGTGATCAACTAAATTTCTTTCCATTAAAACAAAATGTCTCACCTGGCATACCAATTTCATTACCTTCCCATTAGTCCTGTTTCTCTCTCATAGAAAGAAATATACAAAATTTGTCTTACAATTGACTCTCAATATTTAAAAAATATTTATAGCATAAAAGTAATACAAGTAATGTTACATCATTGATGGGTGTTTTTAACAAGTTAGGAGAAGAGGCCACCATGACAAGGCCCAACAGGCATTATTACCACAGACAAACAATTGAATTACACCAAGATAGTCTTAGTATGGAACTGACATACTAGTTAATGTTCAGATCATGGAGCTCCCCAAGTGAAGACTCTGCTATCCTCGACTCCACAACAAAGAACATATATCTGAAGAAGGGGAGGTGGGATAACTCTCCCTTTGACAATATTATACCTTTTGATAAAACATTATGGATATTTTTCTACACAGCAAGGAGATTAAAGAGTTCATTAGCTCCTCTCTCCTTTACCATGTAGACTTTTTTCTATTTTAACTTCTGATTCCAAAAGTTAGATTTCCTCAAATCCCAGATCTAAAAACCCTGTAAGATTTTTCTTCTCTACACTACTGCCCTGTTATCACTGTCCTTACTTAGAGTCTGCCATCAAAGTTAAGTAGCATTGGCTAAATCAAAATATTGTACACAAATGAACAAATTCAGAGAGAAAATCAGTTAAGATACAGCCAGGAATATGGCTTAAGTGGATAACGGTACTTGCAGCCAAGTTCAAGGACTAGAGTTCAATCCCGAGGACTCATATGATATGAGAGGACCAACTCCCACCAGTTACTTCTGATTTCCACACATATGCTCTGGCACATGCATGCCCCCCATACACACATATACACAAAAAATAAATTCACAGTCTAAGGTGACAAAAGAAGAAATGGGCATGATCATAATTTAGCTGCAATTTAATTTGAATTACTACAAGTAGTAGCTAAATGTCATTAGGAAGTAAGAATACTAATAAACTAGAATTAAATGAAAATTAACAGTATGAATTTTATGGTACCACCCAAATAAGACTTAATAAAGCCGAATACCATCAGTACACAACTTACTGTCCTTTGGTAGAACGGTGATGCTAATGCCAGGGTCACTGAGTTTGATGAAAGGTGGATTCCCTGTTTTCCTGTCTTCTTCTCGGATAAGCAGGATATTTTTGGCACACACATTCCCATGGATAAGGGATTTTTCTTCCTATTAAAGTGAAATGCACATACATTCAAATATCAACACACAGATAAGTGTGCATATAATATTCCCAAAGCTATAACACAGATTTACAGAGGACAAAGGGCAGCATAGTAAATGCTAATTTGAAGGCATACTTTGAGACAATAAAAGGAAGTCTTTGGTTTCTTAGTTTAACTGATTTGTAATGATTTATACCCACACTGAACCGAGTGTTACTTTTCAAAGGAGAGATTCTCAATGATAAGCATGTCTAGGTGGTAACTGACATTAGGAAAGACTATCTCTAGTTCAACAGATGTATGCTAATGATTGGCGGGCTCTGTTATTCTGCAGCTCTGTCAACACTCATTTCTCACTTGTTCAATTGCCTACAAACACCACAAGGTATCTTCTGCTATCATAGCAGCAAGATATGCTTCTGGAAATTTTTGGTCCAATATCCTAGACCCAGGTGTGTTGTAGAATATCATTTTAACTGTGTAAAAGTGTGTTACATTTGTTTCTGCTGCTTTTGTTAATTATGCAAAGCTGTATTACATTTGTTTAATTAAATAAAATTAACCTGGAGTCAGGAGGCTGAGTCAGCAACTAGCTGACAGGAAGTGGCAGGGAGGAACCAGGTGTAGTAAGGGTTTTTAAGTGGGGGCTGAGCAGAAGGATATCTGGTTTTTCAGGAGTTGCAAGTGAGGACAGAAGGTTAACTACTTGCCATTTAGCCTCTCTGAGCAAACAGAATTCAACTCAACCTTTGAATCGTGGGTTCTACAGAGGGACAGAGATCTAGATAGTTTCCTTTAATGGCTGTGATAGAGCCAGTTCCTGAGGAAACAGAATTCCTACCTGCCAGTTGAGACAACAGTTGCTTAAGGTGCAGCCACTGTCTTGAATGCACAACAGCACAGGTGACATAAATATGGGTGTCTACGGTAGTTCCAAGAGATGGGTGGGACAACAGCACTGTCTCTCGGAGCTGATTTACTATCTACAGATGTCTGTAATAACACTTTTCTATGCCTAGCATCATTTTGAATGACCTAGCATTCATTCCATTCATTCCAAGATTTACTTCTGGCTGCCAGGTTAAAATAATTATATTACTTTCATGAAATAAAACAGCAAGTTTTAGGTTTTTTTTAAGAATTAGGCATTTACTTACTAGAAAATGCATGGCCCATGCCAACTGTTTAGCCACTCCAAGTTTCCATAATATATTTATGGAATTTTTGTTTTTTTTCAGGTATGTATCCAGTGATCCAAATTTTACAAACTCTTGAACCAGAATGTCTGCATTAAAATATAGGTAACAATAAAGCTTGAGTGTACATCCAATTAAAAATGCATAATTCAAAATTTCAAAATACTTGTGTTATTTGTGGATACAATGTAAATAAATTAAATTAAGTAAACTGTACTAATTTAAAGGAAACTTAATGGATACCCATCATTACAGTTTTGTTTTTACAACAGTAAGAGGCAGGACTCTAAACAGTTTATACCTAACACATAATTGTATATATAACATAGTATATACATACTCCAGCATAACTGAGAAACTACCTAGTGCCAATATTCAGCCACTTTGATCAGTTTCATTAATAATTCAGTCTATCATTTATATGCTTTGCTTTCATAACTACAAACAAATAAGCTTGTACTGAAAGGGCCCGTTACTCCAGTATTACATGAGTTACCTATAATCTGTACTGTTATGTGCACACAAAGTTTGTATTTCTTTACTGTAACATTCCATCCATTATTACATGACATTATTACAAGACATAGTAACTCTATTTGGCATTTTAGCTTTAAATAACAGTTTCCTTTTCCACAAGACACAACAGTAGGTCACAGTGCTTTCAAGTTCAATAATATTTGTAATTCCATTGCTGCACCTATGCAGCTAGTCCTACATAATAAGAATTCTCTGAGACAGACATGGCATTAACAAAGGAAAGACACTGGCTTTACTTACTCTCCTCGCCACAGACACATACTCCATAATTCAAAACCAAGTGCTTGTGAGAAAGCTGGCTCATCATGCTTGCCGCCTCAAAGAAAGACTGGGGGGGGGGGAACAAGAAATGTGAAGGATATCTGTTACTGATGTCCATAGGTATGCATAATTCAGAAATATACTGACTTAAGAGAAATACTCTTTGTCTTACTCTTAGGTGGACATTACAATTTTTTACAATGCCTTTCAAGCTTATTCTTTATAAATACTGACTGAGACAGGATTTCTCTGTATAGTCCTGGAACTCGATTTGTAAACCAGCCTGGCTTCGAACTCACAGAGATCCCTTTCGAGTACTGGGATTCAAGGCATGTGCCACCATACCCAGTTTCAAACTTATTATTAAGTAGGTGAAACTGAGAAGGAATCTATAAAGTTCTAAGGAGTCCCTTTTAAAAGGAACTGCCTCTCTATATGTAAAGATTTAGTAATTCCTATAAAACCACACTTAAAATAATTAGTGCATTAGTAAGTTATTTTCAAATCCTATTCATTTTAAGCTGGGATGATGGCCCTGTGGTTAAGAGCACTGGCTGTTCTTCCAGAAGACCTGGGTTTATTCCCAGCACCTACATGCCCACTGACAACCATCTGTAATTCAAGGTTCAAGGGATCTTATGCCTTCTTCTGACCTCCACAGGCACTAGCTATACACATGGTGCACAGACATACATGCAGGCAAAACACCCATGCACATAAAGTAAAAATAAATAAATTATTTAAAAACAAATAAATAAACCCTAAGGATAAATTTCACAGGAAAATTAAAATCCTAGCATCTTCTATAGTTTCATCATCATGCAGTCATTGACGTTCCTTAAAAAAAAATCACAATTTTGAAAGAACTCAAGGAACTGGAAAAGGAAAACTAGAGTCCAGAAAGAATGCAACATGAGACTATTCGGTTTTCATATTACCCCAGCTCTTTCTACATTAATTGATGCTGCAACGATAAATGGCACACTTACTGACCTCCAAATACACACACACACACACACACACACACACACACACACAACCTTACATGCATACACATGCCCCCACACATAGCCCCTAAAAATAGTACTTTCATGACCCAGCTATACTTCTAAGAATAAATCCAAAGGAATCTATAATCCTACTAGTGATACCAAAACATCCATACATATTGTTGCTATATTCACAACAGCAAGGAAATGAAATCAGCCTAAATGACCATCAACTGATGAATGGATAAAGAAAATGAAATACATATACACAATGAAATATTTAGTCATAAAAATGAAATTATGAAGCTTGAAGGAAAAATTATTGGAACTGGAGAAAAACAGTATTAAATGTAGTAACTAACTCACATTTTGTCTTCCATATGTAAATCCTACCTTCTACTTTTCATGTATGTGAATTTACATGGGAGTACAGGATCCAAGATACTAGCAAAGAACTCATGAGAGGAGAAGAAGGTACTTTAAGGGAAGCGAGATAACAGAATGCATACAGATTCAGGAGGGAAATGCTGGAGGTAAAAGATTGAAGGATGGAGGAGTACAGGAGAGATACGGGGTGGGGGGTAGTCCATAAAAACCAACCATTATGAAAAGTCATAAGTAAATCAGATCATCTGTAAGCTAGTTAAAGAAAAGTAAAATAAAAACCCCAAGAGTTTGAACAGAGGGATCTTGTATGTGTGGATAAAGCTGTTCCCAGAAGCCATGGGTTATTAAGCAAATATCCCAGGGCCAGGTGGTGGGCTACCTTCCTACACATGGTTGGTCAATGAGGCCTAACACCCTCAAAATAATACAGGCAATTACTACTGCTATTGCTTGTGCACAAAACTAGACTATAAGAGCCTATAAGTGCTGAAGATGGCACACTCCTTAGTCACAGGACATAGATAAGTCATTCTGGAACTGGGCTAGAAGTTTTCTCCCTAATAGGTAGCCCTCATGCTGGCTCCTAGGGAAAAATTTTGTCATCAACATTCTTCTTCAACTATGCAACAATACCAATCAGTCAGACAATAATGCCTAATAGTGCTGCAACTGCAACAAGTCTCTTATGGGAGTAACCAAATGCTTCCTGGTTAGATTTGAGACTTGCTTCACTGGAGAAATTCATGCCTTGTACTGTAAACCTGGCCAAAGGTCGTGAATGAGGAGGTCGGAGGCCCAAGTAGTGAAGCTACTGCTGTTTTGCTAAATGAACGTGATATCCCCAGCAAATTGCCCCTGAAAATTTGTTTCTGCCCACAGATAGCTTAGTGTTGCTAGCAGCTTTGATCTGAGAAGCTTCTTTTTGCAGTGGTCAGCAGTAACCAACTAGTAATTGATCAAAATACTGAGAATAAGTGACTCTCAAGTTCTCAGCCATAAATATGACATCAGTATCACCCCTCTGTGATTATTTGGATAAAAAATGTCCCCTGTATGGTTCTGTGTCTGAACACTTGGTCTATTGTTGGGGCTCAGTTTGGGAAGCTTATGTGACCTTTAGGTGGTCTTCGACAGTTTATAGGATTGCCCCACACTTCCTGTTCTCATTCCACCCCTCCTGTACCAGGACGAAAAATGTTACCAGCCAGCCTCCTCCAGGCTATACCTTCTCTGCCATGATGGACTCTTACCTTTTGGGAATTACAAGTAAAAATAAACTTTTATAAGTTGCTTTTGGTCATAGTGTTTGCCACAGCAATGGAAAAGTAACTAGCATACCCTGAAAGGCTCAAGGACCATTGTAGGAGAAAGAATATAAAAGCAGGAGAAAGGGTGGTTTGGAACGCCCTCTTAGGCTTGACACAGATGCTTCACTCTTCATCTCAAAGCAAGGTGACTGTATTCCTGTAAACAAACCCTTACCCATGCTCCTGTAAGGAGCCCTGATAAAACTCAGTAGATCCCATACACACACTCAAAGACATACAAATAGAACAGGTATTACCATGGGAAGACAAAGGATCATTGGGAGGCAGACATGAGAGGTGATAGGGACTGAATATCTGAAATATATTCTGCAAGTGTATAAATATTCCATAATGAAACCTACTATTATACATAGTTAATACATGCAATAAATAAAACATAAAATTTTGTATTTTGAAGTCTCATACATACATTCAGTGTGCTTGTGAATGCATTTCTTTATAAAGTACAAGAAGATACATGAAGCGTCCAACAAACATACACACCTCCGAATAATTTCTATGTGCTTTATCCAGAACTTTCAAAAGAACTTCTGTTTCATGCAGTTGGCCATAGTCTCCAACTTCTCTTCTTACACCTTTAAAAATTTTTGTAAAAGTACCTTGGCCAAGACTTTCATTCTTTAAAAGAAAAGGTAAGGGGGAAGTGAATAAAGACAGATGAAGTAAAGGAATTAGAAAATATATCCAATTAACCAAGTTTTTAAAATGTTAAACATTTCCTTTATAACTGAAATTAATTCTCTATTCTTCTTCCTTAAGTGGTAATTAAAATCAGAAAACAAGGATTAATAAATAGAGTATATTTGACTCTATCTTATTTTCACATCTCCCGTAAAGGCTACAATTATTACACTTGGGAAGAGCCAGTATTTGCCTAGCCTTGTCTACTAACGATCCTTTTCCCTTAGCTTTCCTCCTAGTGCAGTACAAGGGTAGAACAGTGTGGTGTGCATGGCAGAATACCGGGTTTGTTTCTTACCGCCTACCAGCTGTTGGGCCTTCTGGAGCTTTATAATCCCTTTGTGCTACTGTTTTCTTGGGTGTTCTCCCCAACCCTCTGCCACTCCTCTTTTTTCTTGTCACTATGTAGGCCAGGCTAGCTCTGAACTCAGTATGTTCTGGACTCTTCATATACTGAGTAATAATACATTTTCCTGTAAAATTGCTTTGATTATCAAGTGAATTAATACTTGGAAGCACCAAAGCATGAAATAGACTAGCTATACATCAAGCTATAGCTACTATCACTACCCCCAGTCCTAACCTTTGTTATGTATTTCCAGAAAAACTGCTGAAAACCTGCACTCTGAAGCGAGGCTGCCTGTGGTCAAATAGAAGCTCTAATACTTTACAACTGTCATGTTCCCAGCTCCCCTGTGCTTTCTGTCCTACATGAAAACTAATGTCTTTACACTCTGGAATTCCTCTCCTTCTACTCTCTCAGTCCCTCTCCCTCTGACCCCACCCCCCATGGTCTCTCACTGTTTCTGAGGCTGAGGCTGCCCTGGAACTCACTATTGCACACAAGCTGGCCTCAAACTTACAAACTTCCTACTCAGTTTTCTGAGTACAGGAAGAACAGGTATAAGCCAAGAGACTTAATTTTAAAAGTCTGAGGTTTGTTGTTAAATTTGAGGTACTGCAATTAAAGACAGGACTTT